GAGTTTTTCATGAAAGGGGGACAGAAGGGGCACATCTTGGAATTCACAGCTCTTGTTCTCCAACATTTCATGTCTGTGCTGTCTGCTGTCTACGCTGTCTGCAATGGCTGCTGTCTACACTGTCTGTTGTGGGCGCTGTCTGCTGTCTGCACTGACTGCACTGTATGCGCTGTCTGCTGTCTGCACTGACTGCACTGTATGCGCTGTCTGCTGTCTGCGCTGTCTGCTGTCTGCACTGTCTGTGTCTGCACTGTCCACACTGTCCTCACTGTCTGCTGTCTGCACTGTCTGCGCTGTCTGCTGTCTGCACTGTTCGCTGTCTGCACTGTCTACATTGTCGGTTCTACGCATTGTCTGTGTTGTCTGTTCTCTGCTTTCCTACATTGCCCACCCACACACTGTGCCAGGACTGTGGCCAGGAGGACTCAGAGAGGAAACAAGACAGACTGGGTTGTAAGCTTTTTAGGGCCATATTGCCTTTTCTTAAAAAAAAGTATTTATTTATTTATTTATTTTAGTATCATTATTCTTCTTTAATTTAACCAGAGACAGAGAAAAGAGGCAAAGAGAGGGAAAGTGAGAAAGCAAGCCACTGGGTCCGGGACTCAAACCATGATTGGCCATGTGGGAGTCCAGTACCTTAACCACCACACCACCTGCCAGCCCCCATAGTGCTTTTTGAGAATATACATTGTAAGCCATGATATCTTTCCCCAGAAAAATGCACACACACGAAGAGTTTTGCATACAATTTCAAGAGGCTCACAGACACCATCACTCCCACAGACCTCAGGTTCAGAACTTCTAGTAAAGTAATCTAATGCGGGCTATTTAATGGACAATCAAAAAACTTACTAAAGGAAAAATAAAAAAAATCAATCAAAGATAGTTCCCCCTTCTCCATTTCTTATATAGTCTATTCTATTCTGTTTCCTTTTTTAAAAAAATTATTTTATTTAACTTCATTTATTTAAATTTGATCAGAGAGGGCCAAAGTGAGCAAACAAGCAAGAGAGAGAGAGAGAAAGTGAGAGACCAAGTCACCAGGTCCAGGACTCGAACCTTGGTCAAGCCATGTGAGAGCCCAGTGCCTTTAACCACTGCGCCAACTGTTGGCACCTATTCTATTCTGTTTCCTAAAATCCCCTCCAAGATTGCTATTAACCCATTTAATACAGAGCTTGGAAGCAGGAAGATGACGTTTGATAGAAGCTCTTAAACTTTGTCTAATGACAAAGCAGTCTTCTCTCAATCACGCTGTCACAGACAAGCAAGTAGTCGCCCTTGGTATCCGTGGGGATTGGTCCCAGGAACCCCACAGATAAGAAACCCCTTAGATGCTCAGGTCTTTTATGTGAAATGGCATAGTGTTTGCAAACAACCTACACGCATGCATCCTCCTGTATACTTTGTCACCTTTAGATGACTTACAGTACCTAGTACATGGTAACGCTGTGACAGCATACTGGCCTTTTCCATCTGTATTGTTTTTATTTGTTACTCTCTATTGTCCCCCCCCCCCATCAGTTATTTACAATCCTCAGGGGGTTGAACCTGCAGAAGCAGATGGTCACAGAGGGCTGACCGGGTCCAAGGACTGGAGTATGTTCTCATGCCCTTGGGGTGAGAGGACGCCTCTGGCAGCATGGGCTGAAACAGGATGTGTGTGGTCCTATCCCTGACCCTTTACCTAACTGTTTTTTCATATTGTTCCAAGCTGTTCTCAGCAAGCAAAATTACAAATGGCCCAGCTCTCCAGAAGCCCCCTCCCCTTTCTGCTGTGAACGGTATGGAATAGTAGCCAGATAATTAGCCCATGAGGAGCCTGATCCACGTCCTCGGGGAGCAAGTGTTCTCAAGAAGCTGGGCTTGGAGAGTAACATCGTTACAGTTCCTGGGGTCTCCCCCAGATACGGGCCTCAGTCGTGACTCTGATCCACATGCCAGACACTGCCTCTGCCCTGGGACTTCAATAGGCCTGGCTTGACACTGGGAGAATGAAGCTGCAGCTCGAACATGCCCTTGACGTGAGGGCACTACAGGACTCATTGCTTCAACCAACGCTTTAAACCGTTTTAGTAAGGCAAACTGAACAACTTCCAACTACAGAAATTATGGCTGATAGGATTTAAAGCAGTACAAATATTTTCCTTGCTATGATATCTCAAGGGTAATGAACTATTATTACTAATTTGAGAAGCTGAAAATATAAGCAAACACACTCTCCCTAGACCAGCTGTTTTCAACCAGGGGCAATTCTATGCCCCAGGGGACACATGGCAATGTCTGGAGACATTTTTGGTTGTTACCAACATAGGGGGCATGTTCATAAGCACCCCAAACAGCATGGGACACCCCCCGACACACAGCAGCCTGGCCGGAGATGTCAGTAGATCAAGGCTGAGGAACTCTACTCTAGGCCACATGAGATGTGTTTCCAGTTGGGTTCCGGGAGAGGGTTTCTGCTGCTCTGCCTTTCAGGGACAATGAAAGTGGTCCTGTTAATGGCTAAAAGGTCACCGCTATGGCCCAACTGCAGTAGCACAGGCAGGAGGGTACTGGTGCACAGCTCCAGGGCCATGTGGGAGGCCCCAGTCAGATCCTGGGTTGATCTGAACATGCTGGGCGTCCCCATGGTCTTGGCTGACTGGAAGTGGGCAGAGTGTGGAGACGCAGGCAGGGGCCCGACTCTTTCTCTCTCTCAAGAAATAAACTTTAAAAAGTCATTGCTAGAGAGTTTACTGCTTGCTGAAAACATACTGTGAACTCTTCGACTTCTTAGATTAAACTGAAGCTACCAGACATGGTTAGCAGAGGGCAACACAGTGGGGCACGCAGGCCACTGAGTAGCAGTATCTGCCGTTCGTTTTTACAGCATCATTAAATTTAGTGCAGACAAATTGTACGCATTCCTTAAAGTATTATCCACTGAGAGAAGGAAATACAACACCAATGCTCAGCATTAGGGAAATGTACTAGTACATTATGAGCCTGTCGGGATTTCCATCTATACATTATAATTATGAAGACATTTCAGCAATGTAGTAAGGCATTTTAAAAGAACAACGGCAAGTAAACAAAACAGAACGTGAGATGCCATACAGTGAATGACCGAATGCGAGAATGGAGGGGAAGAGAGAATGACAAAGAGGCTACATGAGGTAAATGGTAAGACCTTTTTCCTTTTAAGATTTCCTTTGGGGCTGGCAGGTGGCGTGGTAGTTGGGGGCACTGGACTCCCACATGGCCAACTACGGTTCAAATCTTGGACCTGGTGGCTTGCTTTCTCACTCGTCGCCCCCTTTTTTTTTTGGGAGAGATTTTCGCTATAGGGCGCGTGCGCTCGCCAGACAGACAGAGACATAGAGACAGAAAGCGAGAAATCACCCCCCAGGGGGGATGGTCACACCACAATTCCTTCTCCTCCATTCTCCTCTTGGGTTCTTGGGCATGCACGCACACGTGTCCAGTGTGAGTTTTAAGCCACCGGGTCCGGGACATGAACTGCAGTCGACTACGTGGGAGTCCAGCGACATAGCCATTACGCTAACTGCTGGTTCCCGCCCCCTCTCTCTTGCTCTCTCATTCTGTCCCTCTGTGGTCAAATTAAAATAAATAAATAAAATGGAATAAAATAATTCTTAAAAAAAAAAAAAAAGATTTCCTTTAATGTTAAAATGTTGCAACTGTGTTTTTCTTTCTTTTTCTTTTTTTTTTTTTTTTACTATTTCAAGTGTTGGCTCTGCTGCCAGGGTATGACCTGCTAAAAGGCTGCTGCTTCAGGGTGGAGGCCATGTGGGAAGCCTGGGTTTAATTCTGGCCCGACCTAAACATGCTGGCTGTGGTGGGACGCACCTGTAGTTCCAGCTAGCTGGGAGGTAAAGTGCGGGAGGATGGCAACATGGTGAGATCCTGTCAAAAATCTCTTTATCTTATCACACACACACACACATGCAAAATAAATAAATAAAAAAATGAGATTAAAAAAACGTGAGGATTGGCCCTCTAACTTGGAAGTTAAAGGACCTGCATCCCACATGACCAGCAGTAGTTGGAATGCCAGCCCTAGTAGCTTGGAAAACATGCCAGGTGTGTGTGTGTGTGTGTGTGTGTGTGTGTGTACACGTGTGTACGTGTGTGTACAAAATGCTGAGAGGGTGGAGAAATGAAGGGACTGCAGCTGATCACACTCTACTGGGGGGTGACTTCTCTCTTTCTGGTGAGTGCACATACTTTCTGGTAGTCTTTAAAGATTTCTGCATCATTCAGATCACTACAAGGCAGGCACTTCAGGGTGTGTCTCATTGCTTTTAAACAACCTTTGGACTAACTGCCCCGTGTGTAAAATGGTTACACGCATTTACACATCCTGACCGTCTTGACTCCCTGATGAGAAAAGTAAATTAAGCTTTAATATTTTTTCTGAAATATTTATTTAAAACATGCTAATGGGTTATTGGAAAAGTCATGATGCTTTTTTGAGTAGAAAAATATGTCATGACTTTTCTGAGAACTCAATACTTTCTTCTTCAATGGACTCTAAAAGTCTGGAAAAGGAAGAAGCCAGACTTGATTCCAGACTTAGTATCTCCAAGTTAGACTACCTATCACAGATGGAATTCTCAATGCTACTTTTTTCTTTTTTTTTTTTGAGAGGTTTTTGCTATAGGGCGCGTGAGCTCACCAGACAGAGAGACAGAGAGACAGAGAGACAGAAAGCGAGAAATCACCCCCCAGGGAGGATGGCCACACCGCAATCCCTTCTCCTCCATTCTCCTCTAGAGATCTTGGGCACACACGCACACACGCCTGGCGTGAGTTTTAAGCCACCGGGTCCGGGATGCGAACTGTGGTCGACTACATGGGAGCCCAGCGACATAGCCATTACACTAACTGCTGGTCCCCTTCTCAATGCAACTTCTTAAATGACGTAAGAAATGTCAACTTCGGGAAGGAAGGTCCCAGATACAGAAATGGGAGCAGCGACGGGAAGGACTCACCGGGAGTTGTTATGATGGCTGTTACACGCTCGGGCCATTAGCACCACAATAATTGGTCGAAAGGCTTTTCCTTTCCCATCAAAATAGTACTCAGACATTTCCTTTAATTCTGTTGTAGATATGAGCAGTTCCTGAAATAAAGATTCTCTATGTTGATACGGCATTATAACTATGCAGAAAGTCAACAGGACTTCTTATTTTTTTAGATTAATTTCACATTTCATATAAATAAGACTTCTTTTATGAAACCTTCGTTTGATTTCAGTGTACTCATTCATTAGGAAATTCAACACTGTGGGAAAAGGCCGAGACTGCAGGGCCACCCACCTGTCCCGGCTTGCCCCACTGACAGCATCAGGCACCAGGTGACTCCAGGACACTATAAGGGGGAAGAGTGCTAGGTGGCCCCTGGACTCTGGGCTAGTGACAGCTGGAGAAAGAAAGGAACAGGGTGAGCAGTGAGAAGACAGAGGGCAGAGGAGGAAGGTGGGGAGCGTGGGAGCCAGGGCTGCTGGAACCATGGAGGAGGCAGCAGTGTCCTGGGGGAGAGGCAAAGCCGTGAACTGGGGCGGAAGGAGATGGCCTGGGCCGGGGGGTGGGGTGGGGGGAACAGGCATGGCCTTTATTTAACAAAAGACACTTTGAAGGTTCACAGAGAAAGTGTAAGGCACGGCTTGCCCACGGTGAGGGGCTTAAGCTGGGGAAACAGATATTTTTAAATAGGAAATATTCCCAGATAATACAGTGCTAGCCTGAATAATGCTGAATGGTAAATGCATTACACAAGGAAGAAACCAGTGCAGGTTAGAAAAACCGAGTATTTCATGGGAGCCGTAAGCTGTGACCGGATTAGAAAGATAAGTAGGATTCTGACCCAGGAAGAGCAGGGAGGGAGAGCCTCAGGGGGACGAGTGCGTGTCGGTCGTGGACGAGCCTGACTGAATCCCAGAGTATCCCCGGAAGTGGGGGGAGTGGAGAGAGACCCCAGCCAGGCTCACGCCAACACAGTGCAGCGGGCACAACATAAGTCCTTAACTCAGTGCCAAGCGCTGTGACAGATCTGAGGTCACAAAGAGAACCAGGACAGCGCCTGCCCACAAGGAGCTCAGGGTCTAGGTGGGGAGAAGTACAGCCATGCGGGGAGCACAACAGTGTGTGGCGGGCACTGTCACTGAGGTAAGCACGGTCACCCTGGGTGACAAAGGGGGCACCTCTCACTCAGGCACAGGGAGGAGAGTCGGAATGGAAAGGCATGAACCTCGGCAGAGGGGAATGAAGGCAAGAGGCAGGTTCGAAGAGGAGGATGGTGGGGAAGCAAGTCAGGAGCCTTGCCCAGTCCTGGTGAAATGCACCAAGAACAGGGAGAGCGGGAGAAAGGGCCAATTCCCGGGAAAGCCGCTTCCAGTGTGCTACTCCTGAGACCGGCCGGAGGCCCCGGAGCTGCCTGTCGGCCAGGTGTGCGTAGGAGGGACCACTCGGTGTGAGCAGAGAAGGAGTCTGCGACCATGGTATGGAAGGGAGGACAAGGTGGAGAGAGAGGGGTGGCTGACAGAGCCAGGAGATGGCGATGTGAGGGGGTGGGCGGAGGTCACAAGGAGAATCCCATGAAGCAAACTGAAGAATGGCTGAGGGGTTGGAGAACAAGGAAAGCGTGGACGTGAAGGGAACAGTTTCAACGAGGGAGAATGGTCACGGTGCCCACTGAGCCGGTCGAGAAGTGTCCACTCGACAGAGTAAAAGGCAGCTGCTGGCGACTGGGGCAGTGACCATGGAAAGGCTAGAAAGGAAGCCACCGCCAGCGGTAGAGTGAATGCACAGGGCAAGAGAAAGATGGGGGCAGAGAGCTCTGAGCGGACAGAAGGAGTGAGACGCCGGCCAGGGGAGGGTCCTTTAAAAGACTTTGTTTCAAACACCACACACGGGGACCAGCAGATAGCATAATGGTTATGTCACTGGACTCCCACGTAGTTGAATGTGGTTTGAGTTCCGGACCTCACAGCTTAAACTCACGTATGCATACGTACCCAAAATCATGAGAGGAGAACAGAGGAGAAGGGATTGCGGTGTGGCCATTCCCCCTGGGGGGGTGAATTTTCGCTTTCAGTCTCTTTCTCTCTCTGGCAAACACACACCATAGCAAACACGCACTCTATAGCAAAAATTTCTCTTAAAAAATAAAAAAGAAGTAAAACACCACACATGTGCCTATGCACATACACACACACCTTCCCCACACGCACATACCCACATAAGAAAATGAAGACACCGAAGCACCGAAAATGAACAAGAAAGAGAATGAGGAGGCAGTTTGCAGACAAAGCAGAAGGGGAGGCAATTGTTGGAGTAGGTCCTGTGGGCAGGTAGGACTTAAACAGAGGTAAAGGGACTGTCCCCAGAAAGTTAGGGGCATGTGCTTCACCAAGGCAAAAGGGAAGGAGGCACAGACGAACTGGCTGACAGCGGCGGCAGGGCAGGAGCTGAGGCCATTCTTCCTCTGCGGCCTCCCAGCTCTGTCTACCGACCAGGAAGCACTGGTGTGGGTGTGAGAATGGGAGTCTGGCTGAGGGCAGCAGGAAGACAGGGTAAAACTCAGAAACAGGGAGGAAAGTGACAAGGAGCAGGTGCATATCTCAGGGCAGCATTTCAGAATCCACCTGACGGGGGAAGTCACTGAGTTTTGGGGGAAAATCAGTTGAATGGGGGGCCGGCAGGTGGCATGGTGATTAAGGGTGCTGGACTCCCACATGCCTGACCGCGGTTCGAGTCCCTGACCTGGCAGCTTGTTTTCTCACTTTGCCTCCCTCTATTTCACTCTATCTCTCTCTGGTCAAATTAAAATAAAGAAATAAATGAAGATAAATAAAACAATCCTTTTAAAAAACAAAAAACCCAAGACCAAAACAAACAAATAAAAGAGTTGAATGAAGACAGTCTTATTTGGGGCAGTCTAGCACCTTCATCTGAATTCGGGGACCGAGACGGTAGCAGGACTCGCTGGCAGGTGGCAGGCTCTGAGGAAGAGAGGAAGAGGAAAAGACAACCCCCTACGCAGGCCAGGCGTGTGCGGCCTGGACCACGGTGCTATTCCGAGGCCTGGACCACTGTGTTGCTCCGAGCCCTGCAATGTCCTCTTCCTGGAGGCAGCGCAACTGCATCCTCCACGTTCTCATGGTTGTTGCTCAAGAAGCTTCTGCGGCCTGATGTACGCAATCGCGCGGGTGATGGCATCGCTCCTGACACCTGCACTGCTTCCCCAAATCCTCAGCCTCGACTAAGGTTTAGCAGGCTGAAACATTATTCCACAGAAGAACGGAAACAACGTACCTTCCTAATGTCCTCGTACAGACCCTTCAGGTCTCTCCAGCCGAGTTTAAAAGGATCGGTGTACTTCTCACTGCTCTGTGTTTCACTATGACAGCTCACTGCCGAGGTCATGTGATGAGACCTGCCACCGCAGAAATGCACGGGATTTCGTTTTTAAGTAAGCAGCAGACTCACAAGCATAGACACACATAATTAGTAGAGTCAGATGGTGGCAAACTAAGCCCAAATACCCCCAGCTGGAAATTAAGCGCAAATCTGAAAAGGTCATCATAAGAAAAAAGAAACAGAGAGAATTCTGTTCTTGCTCAATAATACTTCAATTGATCATTTTTATAAACAGGACCCTGAGAATCCACAAAATCAAAGAAAGACTATAAACTATGTGGATCGTGTTTGGAGTTTAGTTCGGATTTTGTTATATTCCTAGTTATTGAAAAGGCAGAGATCATATAAGGCAGACATTGTAGCGCTGAGTTAAGCAACACAGTAGGTTAGCTGGCCTAAGCCATCACAATTTAGAATAGGAATTTACTGGGAATGTGATTAATTTCAGTAGCTGCAATATGGCCTATAAACTTACCGGGATATACCGTACACATTTGAAAAGGCGGATCTTACACTCTTCACAAGGTTAAAAAGGGACATCTATGAAATAAAAGTATCAAGAAATTTATAAGAACAGGCCTGAAAAACTTATTTATAAATTGGATAATAAAAATTCCTGTCATTCATCATAAATACAATCTTTATCTTTTTAAAAAAGTCTCTAATTTTTTTTTTTTTAATGACCAGAGGGCCCATCTACTCTGCTAGAGAGACAGAGAGAGAGAGGGAGAGGGAGAAAGCACCTCCCAATGGGGCATAGTCATGCCACAATCCTTCCTCCATCGTGTTGGGATTTTGGACACCCACACACGTGTGGCTGGCATACTTTTCAAGCTGCTGGGGCCAGGAATTAAACTACAGCTGGCCATATAGGATCCTGCTCCCTCAACAGCCAGGTCACAGGGCCAGCCCGATCTTTATCTAATTTTAATTGCCCATTTCACAGCTCCAGTGCAAACTTTAGAACATGGATAATGAAGGGAACCAGCAGTTAGCGTAATGGCTATGTCGCTGGACTCCCACGTAGTCGACCGCGGTTCGTGTCCCGGATCCGGTGGCTTAAAACTCACGCCGGGTGCGTGTGCGCCCAAGATCCCGAGAGGAGAATGGAGAAGGGATTGCGGCGTGACCATCCCCCCTGGGGGGTGATTTCTTGCTTTCTGTCTCTATGTCTCTCTCTGTCTGTCTGGCGAGCGCACGCGCCCTAAAGTGAAAATCTCTCAAAAAAAAAAAAAAAAAAAAAAAAAGAACATGGATAATGAAGAGCCAGCCCCATAGCCTTTAGTTAGTTAGGGAGGTGGAGTCCATATTGCTCACCATGGTTCAAATCCCAGCCCCAGCAGCTTGAAAAACAGCCAGATTTATGTACCTGTACATGCGTGACCACAATCCCAGCAGGATGGATAGAGGGAGGAGAAGGGATTGTGGCATAACTACGCTGCATTGGTGGGAAGCTTTCTCCCTCTTTCTCTTTGGGGAGCACATATGCCTTCAGGCTATTAAGAAAAAACAAAACAAAAAACAAAAAACAAACCCAAAACAGAAAATGGATAGTTAAAAAAACTTTCATTTCTTTACTACAAAAGCAATTATTTGTCACTACAGAAGATACAAGTAAGAAAAGCAGAAAATAAAAGCCATCTATAATCTATCCCCTCTCCAAAGAAAGGCACAGTTTCCCTATCTGTATCTATCTTTTCACAGCAAGAAAAAAAAAAAAAGTACTTTTAAAGCCATTTCTTTCCTTTTAACTAACAATGGTCAGAGAATAGCATGGACTAACATTATTTACCTTCTTGTAAATTCTTAAACCAGTTTGAAACAAATAATCAAGACCTCCAGAGCATTATCTCAGTTGACAAAAACAAAAAGATATCAGTATTACATAGAGAACTGACATTTATTTATTTATTTACTTGGAGAGATTTTTGCAATAGGGCAAGTGTGCTAGCCAGAAAGACAGAGACAGAGAGACAGAAAGCGAGAAATCCCCCCCCCCCAGGGGGGATGGCCACGCCGCAATCCCTTCTCCTCCGTTCTCCTCTCGGGATCTTGGGCATGCACACACGTGCCCAGCGTGAGTTTAAGCCACCAGGTCTGGGACTTGAACTGGTTGACTACATGGGAGCCCAGTGACATAGCCATTATGCCAACTGTTGGTCTCAAGAATTGACATTTATATTAAACATTATCTATTTTATGTTATTATTCCTCGATATACTTTGGAAATGGTACTTCTTGGTAAGTAATATTAAACAAACAAACAAACAAACAAACAAAAACTGGGCAACAGGGTCTGGATGACACATTTTGATAATCAAAGGATGACAGTAGACCACTTCCACAATTCTGAGGTGGTAACAAATACTCATTCCAGCAATTACTGAGTACTATTATGGGCCAAGAACTGGCGATCCAATGAGACAGGTAGTGGGGATCCAAAGATAAGGACCGCCAATTGTGAAGAATTCAGGGATACAGGTATCTAGAAAACTACGAATTTACTAATCTAATGTCATTAGGACTCTTATATAGAGTGTTTGAAAAAAAGCGTTTGACAAAAAGGATGAACTTAGCACAACAATAAAAATAAAACTAATCCATTCTACTAAAAATAAAGTCTTAGGGCTGGCAGGTGGCATGGTGACTGAGGACGCTGGACTCCCACATGACTGACCATGGTTTGAGTCCTGGATCTGGCAGTTTGCTTTCTCACTTTCTCTCTCTCTCTCTCTCTCTCTTCCTCCCCCATTCTCTCTCACTGTCCCTCTCTGGTCAAATTCAAATAAAATAAATAAATAAATAAATAATGTTAAGACTTTCTATTAAAGAATTATTTAATTATTATTATTTCTAATTTTCTATAGGGTATGTGTGTTTGCCAGAGAGAGATGGAGGTGAGGTGGGAGGGAAAGTGAGAAAGCAAGTCACCAGGTCCAGAACCATGGTCGGCCATGCGGGAGGAGTCCAGGGCCTTAACCACACCACCTGTTGGTCCTAGTAATAAAGTCTTAAAACATGCTTTTATGGGACCAGCTCATGGTGTAATGGTTATGTTGCTGAATTCCCACATAATCGACCACAGTTTGAGTCCCAGACCCGGCAGATTAAAACTCATGCCAGGTGCGTGTGCATGCGTGCACAAAAATCCCAAGAGGAGAATGAAGGAGAAGGGATTGCAGCATGGTCATTCCCCACTGGGGGATGAGTTCTTGCTTTCTGTCTCTCTGGTGAGCACACGCACCTTATAATAAAAAACCTCTTTAAAAAGAAAAAATAATGCTTTTATACTGTTATTTCACTTGAATCCACAACTAGTTTCTATAATTAAAGTCCAGAAAAGTCAAATCTAAAAACCTAATATGCAGATATGTTTACAATACAGCAAAGGACAGAACTGAGTTTATTAAGTGATACTACTAGAAATTTACGTATACCCGGGGACCAGCAGGTGGCGTGGTGGTTAAGGTGCTAGACACTCCCACATGGCCAACCACGGTTCAAGTCCCAGACCTGGCAGCTTCCTTTGTCCCTTTCTCTCTCTCTCTCTCTCTCTGTGTGTGTGTGTCTCTTTCTGGTCAAATTAAAACAAATAAATGAATAAATAAAAATAAATTTATGTATGTACACACACACATAAAAGCACGAGAGAGAACAGGGTTTGAAAGTACATAAATCTAAGTGTTAAAAGCAGGCATTTTTTTAAAAAGAATTAATTAATTATTTATTTCCATTTGTTGTTATTATTTTTTAATTTGACCAGAGAGACAAAGAGAGAAAGGGAAAGTGAGAAAGCAAGTTGCCAGGTCTGGGACTTGAACCATGGTTAGCCATGTGGAAATCTAGTGCCTTTAACCACCATGCCACCTGCTGGCCCCTAAAGTAGTTATTTTAAAATAAATAGGATTGCAGAGTTTTATTTTGCTGTTCTCTTATTCCTTTTGGGGGGTATATATTTTCTTCTTTTCTCCTAGTGAACACACATTGCTCTAGACATTTAAAACTGACAATCAGGGCTGACTTTGCAGGTGGTAGTCAAGGAAGGTGGTCTAAGTTCCATCCATTCCACCACTGGATTACCTCTTCATTAAACCAATAGAAACATTTATGATGTCCTAGGCAATTACAACATCCCAAGAAAATAGTGATAATTCTCCCTTTTCAGTTTAACATTACATGACAATCTACTTCTCTGTGGGTAATTAATTGGTATGAGTTCAGTATTTGCTTTAAATAAGGACATCTTTTTAAAATATCTATTTATTTCTTCTCAGAGTAAGAGAGACAGAGACAGCCCTCACAATAGGGTCCTGATGCCATGGTCTAGCCTCATTCCTTAAGCAGCCCTGGATCATGGCACATGCATGCCCAATATGCTCAGTGGGAGCTTTGGATGGGACCCTCCAGCCTTCCCATGTGCACCAGACATGCAGAGCACTGTATTTTACTGCTGCACCACTGTCCACCAGGCAAAATGAAGACTTTTTAAAAAAATTTTTTTGCTACAGGGTACAAGTGTTCTCTGGGTAGACAAATTGAGAGACAAGAGAAAGTGAGAAATCACCTCCACTCAGGGGGGATGCAATCCCTTCTCCTCCATTCTCCCCTTGGGATTCTGGACACCCACATACAAGCACCTGGTGGGTTTTTCAAGCTGTTGGGTCTGGGACTCATACAGCGAAGCTGACCATGTGGAATCCAGCTACCTTAACCACCACACCACTGGATGGTCCCCAGTAAGGACATAATGGAAGAGTAACAATTATTTAGTGTGAGACTTAAAGAGAGTCCTCTAACTAAGAATAAGGACTAAATGATATAGCTAGAGAATATAGGGTGCCCTTTACCAGTCGGCAGCATTAACACTGGTAAACAGCGTGGTCTGGGAAGACCGAATTCAGCTCAAGTCTCAACATTCCCTGGCCATGTGACCTTGTAGCATCTTTCTGATAATACCTAGTCATAGAGAGCTGCTAAAGTTAATTTACAAAGTGTATGGGGATCAGCAGTTAGTGGCTATGTCGCCGGACTCCCATGTAGTCAACCGTGGTTTGAGTCCCAGACCCGGTGGCTTAAACTCACGCCAGGCGTGTGTGTGTGCGTGCCCAAAATCCCGAGAGGAGAATGGAGGAGAAGGGACCGCGGTGAGGCCATCCCCCCTGGGGGGTGATTTCTCGCTTTCTATCTCTCTTTCTGGTGAGTGTACACGCCCTATAGCAAAAACCTCCCCCCCACCCCACTCCCCCCCAAAAAAAAGTGTATGTAAAGCTCTTAGCTCAGACCCTAGTACATGGTATATGTTTAATGCAGTATTTATCCGCTCAAGCTGTGTTTTGCTTTAAGAGCACTGTCAGGTATTGTTACTCATTGAGGTTAGAAGCTCTGGCAAGGGCAGTGAAGTACGAAGAGGGTTGGACAAGAGCAATAGCACACTATGAGCGTAGTAAAATCATTTTCTCATTCCAGTTTTGTCCCTTCCATCATGTGTGCTCTTGAAAGTCAATCTGCCTCTCATGAATTCACTCTTTATCTGTCTGTCTGTCTGTCTATCAATGTATCTATCATCTATTTATTTATTTGTTGTGATTTTTAAGCCACCAGGTTTGGGACTCATACCATGGTCGGCCATGTGGGAACCCCAGTGCCTTAACCATCACGCGACCTGGGGCCCTAGGAATTTACTTTGTAAAGATGCACTGACCGGGCAGCCACCATGGAGCAACAGTAATGCTCAGATATGTGGGAGGGTCCCAGGATCCCCATCTGCGAGCTGGGCATGCACATGATCCTGGCTGGCCATGACTGAGGGCAGGAGCCCAGCAGGAGGACCCTATTGGGGGTGTCTGTCTGTCTCTCTGCCCGTCCCTATCTCATGGAAGAAATAAACTAAAAAAAATCCCACAAAATAAAACAAAACAGACAAGTGATTTGGCATGACGGAATAAATGCACACTGGTTTTATCCTGCTATAAAACTTGCTAGCAATACTGATGGAGAAGTCCGGAGGAAGTACAAATGTTGGGAAGTAGCACACTGTGCTGGGGAGTCAGTGGCTTAGTTATTGTTGGTCTTTGTCCCCAAAGAGAGGCTCCAAGTAACCAAAACACATGTGCCTGAGGCAGATGCCAGAATGCTAACGTATTCAAGTGAAAAGCGTCAGCGACACTCAAGTCAGAGGTGCACAGAGTTGGCACCATTGGCACAATCCCTCCCCGTGGTCACTGAGAATGTGGAAGGCATAAAGCACGTTCTCTGCAGAAATGCACGCTTTCCGTGCTGAAGGTGGCTTGGCGGACATGAAAGCCAAAAAGGGGCGTAAGGAAAGAACTATTGGTGAACTATCTAGATGGGCGTCCATCTCCTGGGTCATGTCCTCATCTGTGCGACTGGGAATATCTGAGGTCTGGCTGGGTCAGTACTGAAAGGGAGCCCACACAGCCCACCCTCCTCTGAGATGCGGCTTTGCCACGTGCCCCTACTGCTGCACGGCTTTTTCTTTTCTTTTCTTTTGGAGAGGTTTTTGCTACAGGGCGCATGCGCTCGCCAGAAAAACAGAGAAAGACAGTGAGACAGAAAGCAAGAAATCACCCCCCACCAGGGGGGATGGCCATGCCACAATCCCTTCTCCTCCACTCTCCTCTAGGGATCGTGGGCACACACGCACACGCACCTGGCGTGAGTTTAAGCCACCGGATCCGGGACTCCAAACATGGTCGACTACATGGGAGTCCAGCGACATAGCCAGGACGTTATCTGCTGGTTCCACTGCTGCATGACTCTACTGTCTAGCCTGTCTATTGGCCCGGCTGCCATGCTCTCTCTCTATCCTCTCTGGAGGATAATCAGTGACACCATCGAATTTGGTACAAAGTAGACATTTATGAAAGCTACATAGTTCATACTGGTAAACAGGGTTTTTGATACTACATGGATGGATGAGGTGCACCAAATGTGACCGCAAGCAGGGTAGTACATTCAGATAAACCTTTAAAAGGGCTTTGCAGGTACCAGGCTACCATGAATACAATTACTGCGTGGCCATGGCAGTCTCTAAGGGTTTTTGCAGTCAGGCTCACATTATAGTCCTACCCCACTGCACGTAGAGAATGTATCACCGCACAGTGCGGAAAGACTCACTGAGCCATAGACACATGTCCTTCTACACGGCTGCACTGACCGGAAAGGGAAACGAATGACATTGGGTCCAAAGGCAGCAAGCAGCAGAGAGTGCAGAGGACTCCAGGCTGATGCTGACATTCTGCCCTGGCTTCCTAAAGTCACAGGTTTATCTAAAGATGACTCCAGGCTGTCCCTACTCCGCCCGGTAGAGCCTTTTCTCCTTCTGGTGCCCTTCCAGCCCCATCCAGGTGTGCTGTCCCTCCCCAGCAACTTCTGGACGACCAAAGTCCAGTGCACCCTGGCATCAGCCCTGAGTTCTCCGGACGCCTTAGGCGACCGACCATTCCGAGAACTGGCGGATCCCGTTATCTCGGACGGCTCAGAACATCTTTGCTCTAAAACTCCAGGCAAGATTCGTCCTCCTGACAAAGGGTCAGTCTCGAAAGGAAATAGCTGGAGAGGGTCACTGACATTTTCCACGGCTCAGTGGACAATCTGACCCCTCCTGCGATTTCCCCCGACAACTGGCTCCTTACCGATTTCCATCCCGGCCCCTAATGCTGCCTCCGTCCCCTCTGACTCCGCTCTGCACCCTAGGGAGGGACGCCCCCACGCCAGGCGATCGCGCGGCTCAGTCGCCCCCGTACCCCGCGATCCCACCCCTGGGCGACCCGGTGCTCCTGCAGCAGCGACCGCGCGCCCGGCGCACGTGCTCCACGCGCCCATTCATTCCGCGGCGCCGCTGTCATTGGCGCCGTGACCTCTGCGCCCGGCCTGGGCGCGCGTCCCCACGCCTCACCTGTGCCCAGGCGTCCGCAGGGGCGCGCGGCCCCGGCGGCCCCACGAGG